ACGTTCACCCCCGTTGGTGACCTTGTGCTATGTACCCAACCACCACCTTGTTGTGCCACACACGCGTGCAGCAAGCTTGGCGACCTGCTGCTGCCAGGATCTGTCAACTCTTCGGTGTCAACACTCACCTCCCTCACCAGGCTGTAAGCTGCACGCTCCTTTATTTCCCAACGGCTCATAGCTGTAGCCCATTAGCTGGCATTCACTGTGTGCATTTGGCAACTCATCTTGCACTCTCTGGTCTCATGTAGTTACACCGACATACTCTCATCATCACATGCTCACATGCTCATCATCACATGCTCACATGCTCATCATCACATGCTCACATGCTCATCATCACCTGCTCACATGCTCATCATCACATGCTCACATGCTCTGTGCTGCACGTGTGTGGGCTGTGCCATGCTGCACGTGTGTGGGCTGTGCCATGCTGCACGTGTGTGGGCTGTGCCATGCTGCACGTGTGTGGGCTGTGCCATGCTGCACGTGTGTGGGCTGTGCCATGCTGCACGTGTGTGGGCTGTGCCATGCTGCACGTGTGTGGGCTGTGCCATGCTGCACGTGTGTGGGCTGTGCCATGCTGCACCGAGCTGGAAAACAACCTCCTCTCAGGCCGCCTGGATTCCTTCCTCACCCCTCTTGTTCCCGTCAAGACCCTCAAAGTCCTGTGAGTTGCACCTGCTGCACGTCATGCGCCGCTCTCGCCCCACAATTAGACCCAATCGAACACATCCAACCACACTGCACCCCCTTCCATACTGCACACCCAACCGTACTTCACCTCCGACTACACTGACCCAACCCTACTGGTTCCCCAACCGTATCCTGGTTGGTTGCTCTATAGCTTTCAAGTCTCAGCCTTTCTTGCCTCTTCTTCCCTGGCCTGCAGCATATTTCATCTCACAGCACCCATCCATGCCAGGCATGAGAAACAGCCCATACCAGCCGACCTACAGTGCCCAATCTCGTGTACCTTGTGGCTCAGTACCTTCTCCCACTAATGCCACCCTCACCAGCCATGTACACAACAACTACCTGTCTGGTGCCGTGCCACCATCACTCACTGCTTTCTCCGTCCTCTCGGAACTGTAAGCACTCTTCCCTCACCCTTTTCCACCTCCTATATAAAAACACGTTTTCTTCCTGTCACTATACTTGTTGGCAAGCATTTGACTCTCCCTCTCCTCACCCACTCTATTGTTGTCATCATAGTTTCTCTCCATGTGGTTTTGTTTGTTTGTTTCTTTTTTTGTTTTTGTGTGTGTGTGTGTATTTTTTTTGTTTTTCTCCTTTTTTTATCGCATTGCCTTGACAAAATATTTTCTCCACTTTCTGGATTTGCTTGGCACAGCTCTGTAGTTCACAAAACATGCCTGTAGACACGTATAAGCCATCACTGTAGGCCACTTCATCCTTTCCCCATGGAGACTGAACCTCAAACCCCACTACGTGAATCATTGTGTTCCTTTCCATTCCATTCCCCTAAACAGGAAGATCCAGGCGAACTACCTGACAGGCAGCATGCCGGCAGCGCTGCCGGCGTCCCTCAAGTACCTGGACGCATCAGGGAACTACCTGGTGGGAACGTTCCCCACCACCACCACCACCTACTGCAGCTGCGCCAGCAACTGCTTCAAGGACAGCACCAAGTGCACCAGCGGCAGCACGCAGTGAGCAGCAGCAGCATGTGCCATCTGCGGCAGCACCGATGCCACAGGGGTGCTCTGTAATGGCGGCACGTGTGCTCCCAGTTCGACGGCTCTGATCGCAGCAAAGGCTGTGAATACGGGGACGGCTGAGGTGTACTGCGCGGGATAGGGCAGCAGGGGATAGGGCTTTGTTGTCAGGTTTGTGGTTCGGTCCGGGGGTTCGGTAGGGAGTTGAGAGGGGTGCAGGTGAAATGTTGAACCGCTTCCCTAACTCCTCTGCGTACTTAGCTGCTGAAAGGTGAATGGCCTTAGGTGCGTAGGAGATATTGAGGCCTAGGAACTGCTTCACCTCGTAGTTGCACGTGATGTCGACGTGCGGCGGTACATTCCTGGGTCGTGCGGCATCTGCTTGAAGCCGATTACAGGCACGTCGGCCTGGGGGGTTATGGGCGCACTCACCCGCTATATAAACAAGCCCTTTTATCCCAGTGGTTAGTGGCTGGGATTCTGACACGATGATGCGCGGCGCTTTCGAGGTTGCGGTGTGAAGGCCGAGCAGCTGCAATCCTGACACGGTGCTGTCGTGGCGTCGCTGCGGAATAACTTCCTGAACATCGTCGTCGTCGCTCTCAGGTTCAGGTGGTGCTGGCGGTGCTGCTGTGCCTCTGCTGCTTCCGCCTGTTCCGCTTCCGCCTGTTCCGCCCATTCCTCCTCCCGAGGAATCATCGTCGTCGTCGTTGCTGCTGCGCCGTTCTTCCCATGCGAACTCTCCCCTTGTGTCCTATTCCAAGATTGCTGCGGCGGCTTCGTCTTCGGGTGTTGCGTAGCTGTGGCCGTCGTTGGCGTAGACGCGGTTTGCGTTCGTTTCCTCGTCGTGACGGAATTGGTCGAGGAAGAGGCGCTCGTAGAAGATGATGTCCCGAGCGTGAGCGGTTTTCTGACTGAGGAGGTCCAGCACGATCCACGCCTTGTACTCGTGACTGATGCCGAGGTGAATTCCCCAGCGCGCGCGGCTGGCGAATTTGCCGATGGTTGACGTTGGCGGGCGGTACTGCACCATGCACCCCCACACGCGGAGCATCGATGTGTCCCCCTTTGTCCCAGTCCACTTGACGTGCGGGGACAGATTGCCGGTGATTGCTGTGGTCGAAAGCAGGTTGTGCACCCGCATGGCGTGGTGCATCGCGTAGGTCTAGTAGATCGGCGGCAGTTTTGACTGCTTCATCAGTGCGCGCTGTCGAGATAATAGGTATACTTAGGAGCCATAGCTAGGAAAGCCCTAGCTAGGCAAGAGAGAATTAGGCAAAAGAGGAATGAACTAGCAAGAATGGGGATACAAATAGCAAACCCTAGAAGGGTTGTACTCGCTACAGAGCACCCCACTACAGGCTAGAGCATAATATTCTGACACACCCCCATAGCCAAAGTGGGGTGTAATCAGCAGAGGAAACAAAGCAGTACAAGCTCAGGGTGGATCACAATGTCACCACACATTCTGAGCACAAGCAAGAAGCAATAGTTTAAGGTTCACAATTATGAGCAAAGCTAGAGGCAGTCACAGGGGGGCAAGTGAGGAGGAGGAGGGCTGGCGAGAGGAGTGTAGATAGGAGGCGACGACTGAAGCTGCAGACACTCGGGCAACAGACGGCTCTGGTGCGACAACGTGGCTACCGGGAATGAGTGCCCCGGAGTACAGGAGTAACAGGCTCCGCGGCTAATATGCACGGCAGGAGCAACGGACCCACAGGCGACGGCGCAACCGGCTCTCTGAGCTACCGGGAATGAGTGCCCCGGAGTACAGGCGCTGCGTACAACACGACGGCAACCTCCGCTCAACCTCCCCCAACAGTCCCACACCCCTCGACACACACCCTCTGCTTCAAACCCTAGCTAGCTCCACTCCCACGGTACCCCCCTTAAACCCCAAACCCTAGGCTCCCACACACCACCCCCCTCAGCGGCAGCTGCAGCAGTGGGAGACGGAGGAGGAGGAGGAGCAGGGGACGGCTCACACTCACGGCACCCCCATACCCTCCACCCCCAAACCCTAGGACAGGAACGCGGGCAGTAGCGGGGGTGGGGCGCCGGCAGAAGCTCGGGGGACGGACGAGGCGCGCGCACGGGCCTGCCGCAGGCCGGACGAGGCGCGCGCGGGCTGCCCGGGCCGCGCGCGGGCCTGGCGCAGCCCGTACGGGCCGCGCGCGGGCCTGGCGCAGGCCGTACGGGCCGCGCGCGGGCTGTACGGGCCGCGCGCGGGCCTGGCGCAGCCCGTACGGGCCGCGCGCGGGCCTGGCGCAGCCCGTACGGGCCGCGCGCGGGTCCCAGGGGCGTTTCGACGGGCGACGGGGGGCGCTCCGACGGGCGACGGGGGCGCTTCGACGGGCGACGGGGGGGAGCGCTTCGACGGGCGACGGGGGGCGCTTCGACGGTGGGAAACCGCCGCGCGCCTCGGGGCACACGGCGGGCAGAGAACCGCCGCGCGCCTCGGGGCGCACGGCGGGCAGAAAACCGCCGCGCACCTCGGGGCGCACGGCGGGCTGAAAACCCTAGTTTCGACGCCGCGCACCACGGGGCGCGCGGCGGACAGGGAGTAGCAGTAGCAGCGGAAGCAGTGAAGTGGGCCCACAGGCCACGAACGTTAGGCTCTAATACCATGTCGAGATAAGCGGTAGTCTTAGGAGCCATAGCTAGGAAAGCCCTAGCTAGGCAAGAGAGAATTAGGCAAAAGAGGAATGAACTAGCAAGAATGGGGATACAAATAGCAAACCCTAGAAGGGTTGTACTCGCTACAGAGCACCCCACTACAGGCTAGAGCATAATATTCTGACACGCGCACCTTCGTCATCAGCGTGCGGTTCGTCCGCTCAGCTACGCCCTGCTGCTGGTGCGCGTAGGGGAGGGAGATATGGTGCTCGATCCCCTTTTGCGTCAGGAAGGTTTGCATCTGGTTGCTCCGGAATTTTGCCGCGCCGTCAGATTGCCAGGTCTTGAGTTTCTTCCCGGATTGCCGCTCCGCATGAGCCAGCCACTGACGGAACACTTCGTAGGCTCTGTCGCGCGACTCTACGTTCACAACCCACACGTAGCGCGTTCCATCGTCGATGAAGGTGAGTGTGTACATTTCGTCTTCGACTCCGCAATGCCCCACGTTCAGGAAATCGCTGTACACTTTGTGCAGCTTGGGGTAGCGGTTCGTTCCAGGCTCGAGCAGCGGGAAGGGTTGGTGGCTCAGTGTAGCTTCTTCGGGGCAGACGGTGCAGTTGCGCGGATGTGTCGCGCCTCTCACTTCGGAGCCATCTGGGCGCAGGAGTGCGCCAGGAGCGAAGACGCCTGCGTCGATGCAGTTTTTCAGCGTCGCGCGTGAAGGATGTCCGAGGCGCTGGTGCCAGAGTGTATCGTCAGCGCGAAATCCGGAAGTGCGCATGTAGCGTACATGAACAGGTCTTCACGAACAGGTTCTGCTGCTACTTCTTCTGCTTCTTCTTCTTCGGCCACGGTAGTGAGCATCAGCGCCAGAAATTCTCTGTCGCGGATCTCGGAAAGCGGGATGTTGGTCTCGGGAATAGTGCCAGGGACGAGGGTTGGTTCGCGTGGCTCGGGAGCGGGCCCGTAGGCGGTACGGCGTGGGGTTGACGGCTCGTTATCCCAGTGGAGGGTGTCCCACGGGTCGTGGTGCGGGGGAATGTCAGGAGGAGGTGGTGCGGGTGGAGTGCGACGCGGGGGACGACCAAGAGGAACGACTGCAGGTGTTGCTTCGTGCGTTGCCTCAGCTTCTTCAGCTTCATCTTCTTCCCCCCTTCGTTCTTCGCGGAAAGTTCCCCAGCCGCTATTGTCGGCGCCAGATGCGGCGCCCCATCCGCCGCTAGCGCTAGCCCAGGTTCCGCCGGTATTCCCCCATCCGCCGGTGTCGCTTGTTCCCCATCCTCCGGTGCTCCCCCACCCCCCTTCATTGGAGGCACTTTCTTCCGCTTCGGCTCCCCATGCGCCGCAAGCGAAGGTTCCGCGTGCTTCGGCGAGACTCTGCTGACGCAGCTCCTCAGCTTCGCGCCGCGCCAGTTCTTCTTCTTGTTCTACGGTGAGCTTTGCAGTGGGGTCGCGCCAGTGGGGGTAGAGCTTCAGGAACTCTTTGAGAGTGTAGGGGCGCGCAACTCCGCGTGAGTCCAGGCTTCCGCGGCGTTGTCCGCGCAGGATGCTTTCGAGTCGCTGGGAGGGAGGTCCAGCGTGGGGACTTTGGTCGGTGCCGAACACGCGGCGAGTGGCGGCTTCGAGCTCGAGCTGTGACATCCCTTCTTCTGGTGGTGCGTGGCGCTCTGCTTCTGCAATCGTGGCAAGTCCGCGGCCGGCGATCGCGCTCGTTGATGTCGTCGGCCTGTGGCAGTCCCGACAGATGCGGTCTGGATCGGGGTTGTGCAGAGCCGTCTCACATAGGTGGGGATGATGCGGCACCCACGGTCTGCCGTCAGGGTGCTTCCAATCCCTGCGGTGGATGTGCTCGAAGCGCAGTGGCACGAGGTCAATCAGCTCGTGCGAGTCGCCGCTGCAGTCGGGGATGTCGAAGTCCAGGACGTATACTCCATTTTCGGAGTGCGCTCGTCCGATCTGCCTGCGGGGGAAGTTCCGTGCTTCGTAGTGCAGCAGGATGTCTCGCGTCGCGCGGTCCGTGCTGAGGTCGACGCCGCAATCCATGAGCTGTGCGGCGGACAGGAGGTTGAAGCGCAGGTTCTGGACGATCAGCACATCATTAAGAGTGATGTGCGTGCGGCTTCCACGTGCTTTAAGCACGACGATGCCTTGCGCGCTTGCGCGCAGGCGCGTGTTGTTCGCCACAGTGACGTAAGTGACGGTAGGGGTGGGGACGGCGTTGGATATGTAACGCTCGGAGCCCACCATATGCTGGCCGCAGCAGCTGTCCAGGTACCAGGTGTTGTAGCGCTTGTTGTCGTCACGCGCCAGCAGCGCCAGTCGCGGCGTGACGATGTGCGGAGTGTCGAACTTCAAAAATTGCTCGCGCGAGAGCCAATCGAGTGGCGCCACCCGCATATCAGGTACGTGCGGGGGACTTTCAAGCAGCGGGACTGGGAGATTCCAGTCCTGATCGTCGTCGTCGGTGAAGTCGTGGCGCGGGCTGAAGGGGTTGTTGTTGTTGAACGCGCCAATGGGGTGCGGTGCCGGCTCAGGTGAAGGTGAGCGCACGCGGCGACGACGCGATTCGCCTGTCATGGCCATGTTGCTCATGACGTTGCGAACTGGGGCAGTCGATGACGGCTGCTGCTGCTGATGCTGAACCGTTGGGTTCAGGTTGCGCGCGGGAGGGGGCTGATACCCCTGGGCTGGACGCACGTCGCCTCGTGCGTCTTGACGGCCGGACCAGGTGCTCGGATTGGTCTGGCGAGGGCGAGATCGGTGCTTGCAGCGATCCGCCAAGTGCCCAAAGTTTCTGCAGATTTTGCAGTAGAGGCGCCGTGGCTTTCGCTCTTCGGTGTTGTCGGCGTAGAAGGCGAGCCGTTCGCGTTCTCGTCGCGGCGCAGGTCGCTGCTGATCCATATCCCTTTGTTCGACGAGAAGGGCGGCGCAAAGGGCGGCCTCCGAGATGACCCCCTGCTGTCGGAGAAGCGCCTTGCAGGGCCGCCACTCTGGGCCGAGCCCTTGAAGCACGATATTGACGAAGATTTCTTCGGAAATCGAGCTTCCCAGCTTCACGATTTGATCGCGAAGGCTCCGACAGCGATTAAGGTAGTTGTTGACCTTCTCCCCTGCGGTCATCTTAGTTTCCAGGAGTTCCTGGAGTAGTCGGCTCGAAGAGACGGAGTCCTTGGGCTGATAGACTCCTGTCAGGTGCCGCCAGGCGTTGAGGGCTGGAGCAGCCGAGGTCTTGTATGAACGAATGTTGAGCTGCTCCGCCGGCGACATATTCCGCAGGAGCACCCCGTACGCCATCAGCGATTCGTTGTAATACCTCGTTCTGGCGTCGTCGGTGTCCTCGGCAGGCTCCGCGTAGCTCCCGTCGAAGTAATGGAAGATTTGGGCGTTCTGCAGCAGGAGTTCCAATTCGAAGCTCCAGGTGTAAAAGTCTCTGCCGTCAAAACAGGTACTTGTCTTTATTTTTGATATGCTGAGAAACCTTGATTGAGCAGAGAGAATTGCCTCTTCACTGGGACGGGGAGTCTTGGGGGTTGAGCCATTGGTGTCGAGGGAGAAAGTTTGCGGGGTGGCGTTCTGGCCAGTCGGGGCCGGTTGAGAGGGTTGCGAGGATGTTCCCGCGTCGCCATTCCGCAATGTTTGGAGCCCTTGCTTCAGGCTGGTGAGTCGCTGAAGGAGTTGTGCGAGAACTTCGGAGCCGATTGTCGTCGTGTTCTCGCTTGTCGGAGCCGGTGCAATTGGGTTGCGCTTCAGCCGTCAGATTAGTCTGACCACCAGATCCTCCGGCCATCTTCACTCGTGAGCGTGTGCCGGACGCCACTTTCCGAATGTCGCAATTTTCGGGAGTGGTAGTGCGAAGGATTCCTGAGCCGCTCTCATACCATGCTGCGATCAGAAGTTGATCGTGGCCTAGGATCTACTGAGGAAGGTTCGCATGCAGTAAGATAGTGTTGGTGGGCCCTTGACCTCAATAGCAGAGTGAATGTAAAATGCTTTGAGATGACTGAAACATGCAAATACAGGAAATATAAATATGAGTACAGGGAAGACGAAACGACCTAACTAGCCATGTACTCTAAGGGGTACATTCCCTTATTCAAACGCATTCTCAACCGTGCGGCGCGTACAGTTTCGTAACTGTTCCCGCCAAAGCCATTCTGCCAGTAGTTGCCCGATGCCGTCTGCTCCCGACGGTCCAGATGTGCTGTAACCGTCCGACGCTTCGATTCAATTCCAACCGTCTGACGCTTCGCGTTCGTTCTTGGTACTGAGTGCTTCTCTTAGCTGCGGTGAGGAGTGCACAGTAATATCAAGTATTACAATTCGTAACAGCACAAATACCAATCGAGCCGTAAGGTTGGGTCGCGGCATATACTGTGGCGAGAATGTTGGTCGAGGAGAATGTCGCGAGTGGTAACGCTGTACTGTAGCATGGCGGAAACGGTTGTGTACGTGGTAAGCAGGGTTGCGACGTAAAGAAAACGAATTTCCATTGGAGTCTTCCATAGTGTGCCTGAATACTTGTTTGATTGCTGTATTGTAGTAATGCAATAGTGAAGAGACACTTTCGTATCCAACAGCCCAGCCCCGCACGCTTTCCCTACCTACAGTAAGCTTGACCGACTGCACTCCAATACGTGTACATTTCGTGCGGTCGTTTCCCTCTTTGCCCAACCATTATCGAGTGTTTTTCTGAAAGGTTCATTCGACGGCCAGCGTTGTGATGGCGATACGGTACAGTATCAGCAGGCAGTTAGGAGCGACACATTTTGCGAACATGCTTCTCGCTTTGATACAATGAGAGATATGGCGTTTTTCTTCGATGGAGAAACAAACAGAAAGCGATGACGGTTCTGACTTGGACAGTTCCCCCGGGGAGAGTATAGGGCTCCACAACTCCGTCCAGTCCCTCCCAGTCCCCCACACCTCTGTCACGCTTGAACGAACCGCGCCGCGGAAATAGGTTACATCAAAAGGATAGCGCCGGCTTCAGCATTTTCAACCACACAACACGTGTGTGAACCCTTCCAGACTCTGGATCAATAAGGTTTATGGCGGCAGCCACGGCAGGTTTTCTTCCCACTACAGTAATCTTGACGGATTTACACTCCAATAGCCCTTCTTCCTTGCCCAAACCGATCGAGCGACACGCTAAGAAAACACACACTGATTCGCTAGCAACAGCCACATCGACGGATAGCACCTGTCATCTCGTCCGCCCCTGGTCCCCCCGTTTGAAACGCATCCGCCGCGGAAATTCTGTAGGTTGCAATGAAGGGCAGGACCTATGCCCCCACTATTTCAGTAAAGCCAAAACAGGTAGTGTGCCTTTAGGGAGACAAAAGCGTTCGAGAACGCTCGAGATGAAAGTACACCCTCTCGCTGGCGGACGTCGCCGGAGTCAAAGGTGGAAACGGTGACGATAGGTACTGTCACGGGTCGTGTATGAACGATCGGAAATGGTCGTTTTGCGTGTAGTGGTAGAAGTGGGCAGCGTTAATGAATATCTCACACGCTCTGGTTGGTGCGATTGGCCCGCAAAAGCTTCAAATTCATGTCACAGCACGCTGTACTACACATGATGCCCGTTTGAGCCCCCCAACCTTGCCTTACCCTCTGGGCTTATAAGCGATTCTTGCATTTCGTGGAGGTTTCGTCAATTCGCTTCGGGCAAAAAGGGCTTATAGCAAAATTTTGTAACTCACCGTTGACTGTTTGACTGCAGTCTCTTCAGTCATACTTCAGTTTCTGTGGTTCGGATTGGTCAACGTGCTTGTAACGTGGGTGCTCCTCACGGCACAAAACCCACGGGTGCAAGGTTTCCGTCAGGTACGAGGCAATTTCGCGTGCAGTGGCTGGGCATCAGGTGTACTAAATCCAAGCGCTGTTCACACGCGCTGGTGAGGCGTCGAGAAAGTGGGTGTTTTGCTCACCTGCATTCAACATTACTAGTTACTGTGCAGTACAGCAGCACCCAGATCAGGGCAAGGTACTGTACCAGATGAACACTCTCCTCGTGGGCAAACACCCAGCATTATTTTCAAGTCCCCCGAACCTAGCCACATCCATCGCTTCGGCCGATTACGTCCTGGATAGGGTGGCGCCGACCATTTTGCAACCACACTCGACGCGTGCCGTGAACCCCTTCAGCAAGATGAAAAGGTTTCTCGAAGCACCATCATTGGCGAGGAGAGGGAAGTGGGGGAAGGGGGGGTTGGGAGGAGGGGAGAGGGGGGAAGGGGGGGGGGGGAGGGAAGGGGTGGAGGAAGAGAGCGAGGCGGAGTAAGACTTCGTAGTATTATACTACCAGCGGCGCTTCCATTTGATCCATAGTATCGCTAGTTTCTTTCAAAATTGTTGGTAGTAAGTTATCGCTCGTCCAGAATGGCTGTAAGAGAGTTTGTGGGAGTCATGATGTCGCGACTCGCGTGTGTGGTGGCCGTGCTGCTGCTTCTGTCGAGCGGCGGCACTTGGCCGGGTGGCGGTCAGCTGGGGAGCCAATCTCGCGGCATCACGGTGCACGCAAGCACCATCAAGCCAGCGCAAGGTTGTCACTGTGCTGAGTTATTAGCAGTAGTAGTACCAGTGGTACTTCTTCTCATCATGAAACCCTGTGACCGTGGCAAGGCAAGCGCCACAAATGCGGTAACGGTACCAAATCTAAGAAGGACAGTACTTGTTGTCTACCATTCTTCCACATCACAACTCTAGCCCCAGGCTCTCCTGCCAACCCCTAGAAACACATACATCTGCCAAGCTAGTACTAGTAGTACTGTCATCCCTAACCGCGGATATTCTCCCACTGCCACCACCGCCGCCCTCTCGCAGTGTCAGCGCTGGTAGCCATCAAGTCCGCGCTGGGTTTGACGTTCACCACGTGGTCAATCACTACTACCCCCCAGCTGCGCTGACCCTTCTACTACCACGAGTGCTGATTGGGAGAGAATCTCCTGCTCCACTAGCGGGGACGTGACTGCACTGTAAGCCGACCCATGCTGTGCTCCCAGCGTGCTTGCTGTCGTTCAATTCTCACTTGTAGCCTTAAGCAATTGCTTATTTTTACTGATCAATAACCGCGGCCTAACATGAGTCTTCTGCTCCAGCGGGGACGTGAGCGGATTGTAAGCCGACGGTGCCGCCGTGCTCTCAGCTGCGTGCTTGTTGTCGTTCAATTCTTATTTAGCCCTCAGGGTGTGGGGTGTGTGTGTGTGTGTGTGTGTGTGTGTGTGTGTGTGTGTGTCTGTGTGTGTGTGTCTGTGTGTGTGTGTGTGTGTGTGTGAGTGTGTGTGTGTGTGGGTGCGCGTGAGCATGCGTGCGGGCGTGTGTGCCGATGGTTGCACAAATCGAATGTGTGTGTGTGCATGAGTTGCTGGCAGGAGTTTGTATAATCTCGCGATAGTCCGCAAGGACCTCCCCAGCGTCTTGACCGTACTCTCTGCGCTCACTTCATTGTGAGTAGACACCGCCGACGATGATTTTTCTATCTAGACAATTCATCATACTGATCTGCGACGTTGTTTTACCCTGAGACCTGTCTCTCCCACGGTCTTTGCTCACAGAGTGATGAATTCCAACTTTCTGGACGGCAACATGGGGAACTACCTCAAGTATCTCACTGGCCTCTCCGCTCTCCAAACATTGTGAGCATCCGTGGCTGCTACTGTCCATGCTCTACTGCTGCCCCATCCATCCATCCATCCGTCCGTCCGTCTGTCCGTCCGTCCGTCTGTCCGTCCGTCTGTCCATCCATCCACCCACCCACCCACCCACCCACCCACCCACCCACCCACCCACCCACCCACCCACCCACCCACCCACCCACCCACCCACCCACCCACCCACCCACCCACCCACCCACCCACCCACCCACCCACCCACCCACCCACCCATCCATCCCCCCACCCCTCCCTCCCTCCCTCCCTCCCCCCACCCCTCCCTCCCTCCACCCCTCCCTCCACCCCTCCCTCCCTCCCTCCCTCCCTCCCTCCCTCCCTCCCTCCCTCCCTCCCTCCCTCCCTCCTTCCTTCCTTCCTTCCTTCCTTCCTTCCTTCCTTCCTTCCTTCCTTCCTTCCTTCCTTCCTTCCTTCCTTCCTTCACTGGCAGGAGCATGGCCAGTATGTATTTCTCTGGACAGCTCCCAAGCTTCCTCCTAGACTCAACCAGCCTCACCAATCTGTAAGCATAGTGCGATTTATGTTGTCCGATCCTTGAAGCCATCCCCCCTTCTTCCCCCCGTCTCTCTTCCTCCCCCCCTACCTCCCACACACCAAATCACTGCAACAGCGATTTTCCCGCGCTCAAAACCCCCCGTTTCCAACACACACCCACAGGGACCTCTCATACAACTACCTCACGGGCTCCGTGCCATCCACCATCACCAAGATCAAGATGCTCATTATCCAGGGCAACTTCCTCGCGGGCTCTCTGCCGTCCTCCTCCTGGACCTTATGCCAGCCTCGCAACAACTGCCTTAGCTCCCTCGGCACGTGCACTCTCTTTGGCACCAATCAGCGCTCGAGTACCAACTGTGCCATTTGCGGCAGCACTGATGGCACCGGCACGCTGTGTAGCCCGGGGCAGTTGTGCGAGCCGGATGCCGACGCGAGAATTGCCTCCCTGACTACTAACTTCATGCAACCTACTTTACCGCTGAGCTGTAAAGTCGGCGGCGTTGCCATTGAAGCTACTCAGGGTCAGTGCGCCACCCGTCGCTCAGCCACCACATTTGCAATCCTGTGCTTCTGGACCCTTGCACTCTTGCACTGTTGCAATCTGCACTATCACGATCTTTCCCTCTTGCACCTCTTGCAGCTTTGCACTCTTGCATTTCTTGCTCTTGTAAACTTGCACTCTAGCATGCACTCTCACAGTCTTGTAGCACTAACACAACGCTCTTGCACTCCTGGCTCTCATACTCGTGCACCCTCTCACCCTTGCAATTTCTCTCGCTTCTCACTCTCTCAATCGTGCTTCCCTCTATACACGCCGGACCCTCCACCATCTCTCGGCAGCCAATGCAATGCTGGCTTTGAAGACTGCTCTGGGTGTGACCTTCACCACGTGGGCCTCCACCAACCCCTGCCGCCTCACCGGGAGGTTAACGTCCGTTCTGAACGAGTGGACTGGCGTCTTCTGCAATCTCGCCAGCTCTGTGGAGTCCATGTGAGTGGGGAAACGGAGTAGTGGGGTAGTGGGGTTGCTGGGTAGTGCGGCAATGGGGCAGGGACACAGGTAGGCATGGGGTGGGAATCACACAGAGCGTGAAATATTGCAAACCAATCCAGACCTTTGTCACTTTTCATGGTAGGTTTGTGTTGAAGTATTGAGTCGTGATGTGAGTCTTCACATCTGGATGTCATTGCTTAAGGGATACAGATGATTTGGGGGGGGGGGGGGGGGGGGGGGGGGGGCGGAAAAGAGGGACAGACAGTGACCTTTTCAGCCGGCTTCTATCACCTTCGTTGCACTCCCAACTCTCTGCCTCTATAATGGAGCAATGAAGCTGTGGGGCACTGCCGCGCCGGTTGGGCACTGGGTGGAAACCGCGCGAAACATAATTGATTGCCAATCGTTCCAACTCTTGTGACTTTACCTGACGGAGGTGCAAATCTAGCAACGTGTGTTTGCCTGACAGAGTCGAGTACTCTTAACAGCAGATTTTTTGGAGACGACAAAAACGAGGGACGGGAACAACCGACAGCTGACCTTTCAGCCAGCCTCTGTCACCTTCCCCGTCCACCCATCTCTCTGCCTCTCAGTGTATCACCACCAGTCGGACGAACCCACACTCTTCGCACTTTATTTTTGGACCCGTAATCCATCCATATGGCTAAAACTCACTTTTCATCCTCTCAGTTAAGATGAGCCCATCCGAGCTCCACTCCAACATCTCCAGGCTGACCGCCGTCACCGCCACGTCAGTCCCCCCCCCCACCCCCCCCCCCCCCCTCTCTTCCCCCCCCTTCCCCCCCCAAACCCCCCCTTTCCTTTCTCTCTCACTCGTCCTTCCTTTGACAGGGATTTGTCTTCGCTTATGATAGTCCGCAAGGACCTCCCCAGCGTCTTGACCGTACTTTCGGCGCTCACTTCATTGTGAGTAGACACCCTTTACCGATGTCTTCGGTCCATTACACTGATGAAAATTGATACTCATCCTCGACAATGTTTTGCCATGAGACCTGTCTCTGCCATGGTTGTTCTTGCAGATCGATGAATAAAAATATTCTGGACGGCAACATGGGGAACTACCTCAAGTATCTCACTGGCCTCTCCGCTCTCCAAACATTGTGAGCATCCGTGGCTGCTACTGTCCATGCTCTACTGCTGCCCCATCCATCCATCCATCTGTCCGTCCGTCCGTCTGTCCGTCCGTCTGTCCGTCCATCCATCCACCCACCCACCCACCCACCCACCCACCCACCCACCCACCCACCTACCCACCTACCCACCCACCCACCCACCCCCCACCCACCCACCCCCCCCCACCCACCCACCCACCCACCCACCCACCCACCCACCCACCCACCCACCCACCCATCCATCCCCCCACCCCTCCCTCCCTCCCTCCCTCCCCCACCCCTCCCTCCCTCCACCCCTCCCTCCACCCCTCCCTCCCTCCCTCCCTCCCTCCCTCCCTCCCTCCCTCCCTCCCTCCCTCCCTCCCTCCTCCTTCCTTCCTTCCTTCCTTCCTTCCTTCCTTCCTTCCTTCCTTCCTTCCTTCCTTCCTTCCTTCCTTCCTTCCTTCCTTCCTTCCGAGACAGGTCAATGGCCAATATGTATTTCTCTGGACAGTTCCCCAACTTCCTATTAGACTCAACAAGCCTTACTTCTCTGTACGTATAGTGCCAATGCTGCCAACTTATCCATTCTTTTCAAGTTGTCCAAACCTTTTTGCCAACCCCCCAGTCTTTCCCCATCTCTCTTCCTCCCCCATATCCTCGCTCCCTCACCTCTTGTTCTCCGATTTTCCCCTCGCCCTCCACCCCTCCCCCCCACACCCAAGACCACTGCTACTACAAACTTCCCGCTCTCACAACCCCCAAACCCCCCCTTCACAACACACCCCCATATAGGGACCTCTCATACAACTACCTCACGGGCTCCCTCCCATCCACCATCACCAAGATCAAGTCGCTGAACGTCCGTAACAACTTCCTCGTGGGAACTCTGCCGTCCGGCAGCTATACCACTTGCACCTGCCACAGGAACTGCCTTGCCTTCGCCGGCATATGTGATGGTGGCACCTCTCAGCGTTCGAGTGACACCTGTAACATCTGCGGCAGCACTGGAGGCACCGGCACACTGTGTAGCTCGGGGCAGTCGTGCGAGCCGGATGACGACGCTAGAATTGCCGCAGGGACTGTAAACTACAAGCAATCGGACGTGGCACTGAGGTGCAAGGCCCCCAGCAGCGTTCTCGTTGAAGCTACTCAGGGTGAGTGTGCCACACGTTGCTTAGATAATCTGCTGCCACCACACTTGCAATCTTGTGCTCCTGAACCCTTGCACTCTTGCATTCTTTTCTATTGCATTCTTGTAATCTTGCACTCTTGCATGCACATCTCGGTGCACTCTCACACTCTTGTACCACTAACACAACACTCTGGCACACTTGTGCTCTCATACTCTCGCAATCTTGCAATATCTCTCGCTTCTCACTCTCTCACTCGTGCTTCCCACTTCACCCGCCGGACCGTCCCCCACCCGTCGGCAGCCAATGCAATGTTGGCGTTGAAGACTGCTCTGGGTGTGACCCTCACCACGTGGGCCTCCACCAACCCCTGCCGTCTGACAGGGGTATCAACACCCCTTACGAACGAGTGGACTGGCGTCTTCTGCAATCTCGCCAGCTCTGTGGAGTCCATGTGAGTGGGCAGCGGGGTAGCAGGGTAGTGGGGCGATGGGGCAGGGACACAGGTAAGCATGGGGTGAGGACAGCACAAAACACGAAATGTTGCAAACCAATCCAAGCCTGGCATGCAGGTTTGTGCTTGAAGTGTCAAGTCGTGACCCTTCACAGCACGATTTCAGTGCTAAAGGGAGACAGCTTAATGGGGGGGTGAGGGGGACAGACGGGTGATCTTTCAGCCTCACCTTCCTCACACACCCAACGATCTGCCTCTTCCCATCACCCCCTACAGCTCAGTGGCGCGTCAGAGTCTCAAGGGGTCTCTTCCTTCGGACATCTCCAAGCTCACCGCGCTCAATTACCTGTAAGGGTGAATCAGGGAGTGCACAAACTAGAATCTGTAACACACACTCAGACAGACGCGCTGTCTGGATTGCAAAGGGAGTGCATAACAGGCTGATTGCATACCGGGAGACCAGCCTTCTGCTCCTGGCGGCCGTCTCATGGTCAGTCATTTGGACACGGACTGGCCGATCTGTTGCGCTCATCATATGTCCTTGGTGGACAGTCGTCGTCCTTTGTTGACAGTCATCGCCGTCATATGTCCCCCAGAGAAGGTGATCATTCGCAAAAGAGCAGGTGAATCGTGTGCCTGAAAATGAGAGGACGAATTGTGCATCTGAGGAAGAGAGGGTGATTTGAGTGAATAAGAGGATAATTTGAGAGGGTACATGGAGCTGCTAATGTGATGATGGCCTAGATAATGGCCACCCTTCTAGACATGTGCTTCAGAAAACTCTTCTCTCCCCCACATGCATTAGGGATTTCGGTTACAACCTTCTTCAAGGCAGTCTTGCAGCGTTTGCCACAAGAATTAAGGACATGACCACTCTAAAGGCGCTGTAAATACCTTCTCCTCTCTAAGAGCTGTATTTTTTTTCTGATCATTGGCGTGGAGAGTGTAGTGTATGATATTTTCATAGCCAAGTTGAGGACAAATTCCGCTCTCATTATATAACCATTCCTCCCTCTGGCCGTTTTTGAATGAATTCTATATGAACCTCTCATTCGCTTTCCTCCCGGTGCATTCCCGCTCCTCTACCCCCCAGCTTATTTAACTACAACTGGTTTTCTGGAACCATTCCCTCATTCATCATTTCCCTGCCACAGCTCACCACACTGTAAGACAAATACAGATGCATGCAGAAGCTTTGTCACTGGCCTTTCCTTCGCTGATGCCTGGATACCCTCATGTCTCTCACATCTCACTCATCTCACTCGCATGCCTCTCCTGTCTGCTTTTTCTTTCCCCGCTCCCCCCCTCCTCCCTTCCACTCCACACACCCCCATCCGTCCCCCACTCAACACACCCCTCTTCCCCCTCATCCCCCCAACACTTCCTCCAGAGGCCTCTTCTCCAACTACCTCACGGGCACCATGCCCATCCCCTCCACCTCCCTGGTTTCTCTGGACGTGGGCTTTAACTACCTGTCGGGCTCCTTCCCCAAGCTCTCCCTCGCGGTCTGTGCGGCCGACCAGAACTGCTTCCTCAACTCCTCCTACTGCCACACCTATGGCACACTGCAGCGCCCCGCCACTGCCTGCGCCATCTGCGGCTCGACCGGCGGGCAGGGAACTCTGTGCCCCAGTGGTGCAGATTGCTCCCCTGACAGCTCTGTCCCAGTTAGCCAGGGGATTGTCAACGTCCCCTCGCTGCCACCAGTGTCCTTGTCTTGCCAAGGTGCGCGTTGCGTGTTGAGTGGTAGGGAGGAGAGGAGGCTCGTATAAGAAAAGATCACATGGAATTGATATGAAGTGGCAGTTAGAAGACCCACGGACAAGCTCAAGCAAATGACACGATGTGGCGTGGCCTGGCATATGGTGAACCACTGCCATTGCAACAGGAATGCAACTACTGTCTGTTGCCTGTTCAACTCAACCATCTAATTGTCTGATCTGACCAATCGATTCTAAGATTCTCCCAATAATTTGTTGCGAGGAGTTTTGTCTGATATTTGTCTGACTCGTCCATTCGTTCGTTGCTTTGTGTCTGACTGTCCCCGTGGCGCCTGTACAGGAGCTGTTCCCTCTCCCCTAGTCTACCTAAGTGCACCTTCAGGTGGGCCTTCTCCCTTAACGCCAATGAACATGCTTCTCCCTTAACGCCAATGAACATGCTTCTCCCTTAACGCCAATGAACATGCTTCTCCCTTAACGCCAATGAACATGCTTCTCCCTTAACGCCAATGAACATGCTTCTCCCTTAACGCCAATGAACATGCTTCTCCCTTAACGCCAATGAACATGCTTCTCCCTTAACGCCAATGAACATGCTTCTCCCTTAACGCCAATGAACATGCTTCTCCCTTAACGCCAATGAACATGCTTCTCCCTTAACGCCAATGAACATGCTTCTCCCTTAACGCCAATGAACATGCTTCTCCCTTAACGCCAATGAACATGCTTCTCCCTTAACGCCAATGAACATGCTTCTCCCTTAACGCCAATGAACATGCTTCTCCCTTAACGCCAATGAACATGCTTCTCCCTTAACGCCAATGAACATGCTTCTCCCTTAACGCCAATGAACATGCTTCTCCCTTAACGCCAATGAACATGCTTCTCCCTTAACGCCAATGAACATGCTTCTCCCTTAACGCCAATGAACATGCTTCTCCCTTAACGCCAATGAACATGCTTCTCCCTTAACGCCAATGAACATGCTTCTCCCTTAACGCCAATGAACATGCTTCTCCCTTAACGCCAATGAACATGCTTCTCCCTTAACGCCAATGAACATGCTTCTCCCTTAACGCCAATGAACATGCTTCTCCCTTAACGCCAATGAACATGCTTCTCCCTTAACGCCAATGAACATGCTTCTCCCTTAACGCCAATGAACATGCTTCTCCCTTAACGCCAATGAACATGCTTCTCCCTTAACGCCAATGAACATGCTTCTCCCTTAACGCCAATGAACATGCTTCTCCCTTAACGCCAATGAACATGCTTCTCCCTTAACGCCAATGAACATGCTTCTCCCTTAACGCCAATGAACATGCTTCTCCCTTAACGCCAATGAACATGCTTCTCCCTTAACGCCAATGAACATGCTTCTCCCTTAACGCCAATGAACATGCTTCTCCCTTAACGCCAATGAACATGCTTCTCCCTTAACGCCAATGAACATGCTTCTCCCTTAACGCCAATGAACATGCTTCTCCCTTAACGCCAATGAACATGCTTCTCCCTTAACGCCAATGAACATGCTTCTCCCTTAACGCCAATGAACATGCTTCTCCCTTAACGCCAATGAACATGCTTCTCCCTTAACGCCAATGAACATGCTTCTCCCTTAACGCCAATGAACATGCTTCTCCCTTAACGCCAATGAACATGCTTCTCCCTTAACGCCAATGAACATGCTTCTCCCTTAACGCCAATGAACATGCTTCTCCCTTAACGCCAATGAACATGCTTCTCCCTTAACGCCAATGAACATGCTTCTCCCTTAACGCCAATGAACATGCTTCTCCCTTAACGCCAATGAACATGCTTCTCCCTTAACGCCAATGAACATGCTTCTCCCTTAACGCCAATGAACATGCTTCTCCCTTAACGCCAATGAACATGCTTCTCCCTTAACGCCAATGAACATGCTTCTCCCTTAACGCCAATGAACATGCTTCTCCCTTAACGCCAATGAACATGCTTCTCCCTTAACGCCAATGAACATGCTTCTCCCTTAACGCCAATGAACATGCTTCTCCCTTAACGCCAATGAACATGCTTCTCCCTTAACGCCAATGAACATGCTTCTCCCTTAACGCCAATGAACATGCTTCTCCCTTAACGCCAATGAACATGCTTCTCCCTTAACGCCAATGAACATGCTTCTCCCTTAACGCCAATGAACATGCTTCTCCCTTAACGCCAATGAACATGCTTCTCCCTTAACGCCAATGAACATGCTTCTCCCTTAACGCCAATGAACATGCTTCTCCCTTAACGCCAATGAACATGCTTCTCCCTTAACGCCAATGAACATGCTTCTCCCTTAACGCCAATGAACATGCTTCTCCCTTAACGCCAATGAACATGCTTCTCCCTTAACGCCAATGAACATGCTTCTCCCTTAACGCCAATGAACATGCTTCTCCCTTAACGCCAATGAACATGCTTCTCCCTTAACGCCAATGAACATGCTTCTCCCTTAACGCCAATGAACATGCTTCTCCCTTAACGCCAATGAACATGCTTCTCCCTTAACGCCAATGAACATGCTTCTCCCTTAACGCCAATGAACATGCTTCTCCCTTAACGCCAATGAACATGCTTCTCCCTTAACGCCAATGAACATGCTTCTCCCTTAACGCCAATGAACATGCTTCTCCACTCTTCCTGCACCCATCTGTCTGAAGCGCTCTTTTCCTGCACTCCCTCTTATTGCTGCACTCCCCAATCAAACAGCCTACAGGCTACACCCGTGCTGCGTGCATAAATTCTCCTCTACCACGTTTCAACCGTGCCCCAATCGTGCTTAGTTCGTCCTCTTCCAAATTCTCTCTTTCACTGCCCATTCCCTCCATCCAGTGTCTGGATTGCTTTCCATCAAGTCATCCCTGGGTGTATCGCTCACAAGTTGGACCCCCTCCTCTGTATGCCTCGCGGGCGGCGGAAGTGTCCCGTCAGGATTCATCACCTTCACTCGTGTTTTCTGCTCCACGAACAGGGATCCCGTGAATTTGTGAGTGCTCCAAGAACGTGCGTCTGCACACACCAGTAGGACGACCAAGAACGTGCGTGCTCCAAGATTGTTCTGAGAGAAAGTGTTTTCCGCACACACCAGTAGGACGACCCACACTCCTTGCACTTCATTTGTGGGCCCATGATCCATCTATATGGCTAAATTTTTCCCACTTCTCCCCATTCATCGTTTTTACAACTCATCCTCACTTCTAACAAAAGCCAGTCCGGACCCCTAGTAGTGTATTTATGCCTACTGCTCCCTCCTCCGCATCAGAATTTTATCGTTGATGCCGCACAATTTTTGGCTTGTTTTTTTTGCAGGAGCCTGGCAAATTTGAACCTCAAAGGCAGCCTGCATTCCGACATATCCAAGCTCACCGCCCTCACCAACCTGTCAGTTCTCCTCCTCTCGTTTCTCTCTGACTCGTCCTTCCCTTCTACCTGGCGGGCGGGCTCGACCCGACCCGACCCGACCGAGTCGACCAGACCCAAATCAATACAAGTCTTAAAACAATCTCAACGTATCTGTCCTCAGCTCAGGCTGATCCGACTGACCCGGCTTGAGAAAAACCGGGCTGGGTTGGGTGGGATGAAACCTTACTCATGTCCAGTCCGCTGGTGGATTTCTACTGACAAGCACTATTCGTCGTACTGATGGAGCAACTTGGCAGCCTGGTAGGTGGAAGAGACCGCAGAAGCTCCACATGGGCGCATCGAGCGGTACCTTGAGGAAAATGGGACCTCTGCAATTACTGTAGACGAGTGCAGAGATGTGAGTGGGAGGAAGCGTCAGCCATGATCAGACATAAATAAGCCTCCGCAAGGTAGGGGGATGAAGGCCGCATGCTCCACACGTGCACGCGAATACCGAAGCAAAATCCTTACCAAAGCCGTTCGTGCCTGTTAGGTCCTGTCCCGGGTGTTGCTTGAAGCACAGTTGCGTGGTTGCACTTGCTTGAAGCACAGTTGGTGCATGAGGTGTGACAAGCGGGTATGATAGGAGGGCATCACAGTGTGTATGATTGTTTCTCTCCCACCAAGGGCGGCTGTTCTGTACTGGTGGTGAGCAGGTGCCCATGTGCTTGGCAGCCATGCTGTGTGCTGCTATGCTGTGTGTGTGTTGCCATGCTGTGTGTGTGTTGCCATGCTGTGT